CAAATAGAAAATGAAAATATTTGTCCCACATGCCGAGGTCAGCAGAGGGGTTGTTTGTGGCCACTGGCGACCCCCGAGGCTGATGGAGCAGTGTTTTCTTGTACCAGTGGGAAGCCCTGGGCCAGGCGGGGGGTCATGGGGGATGGACGGTGGACACGGCCTGGAGCCTTGCCCTGAAGCCAGGGCTTTGCTGGCCCAGTAGGTGTAGCACAGAGGCCCTGCTTTCTAGCCAGGCGTGGCTCCTGTGTATGACGCGGTATCACACGGAGCTCAAATGCTCCTGTGAGACCAGCTCCAGAGGGTGTGGTTTCGTGCTGGAATTCAGCATGGCCAGCTGGCTGCCTGTCTGCTCTGTCCTCCTGTCTACCGTGATGGCTATTGAGAAGGTAGAAGGGACACTGTCCCTGCTGCCTTTCCCAGTTCCCCTCCAACCAGCAGGGACTGGCCCCCAGTTCTTTAGTTGCATCTGCCTTCAGGGCTGACGCTGGGGTCTCTGCTGCTCTGAGCAGCTGTCTCTTAGAGGGTTCATTTATTTGGTTCCTTCCCCAGATGCTAAGTGAGCACCTACTACACGCTAGGGCCCAAGAACACAGTAACTATTGTTATGACGAATAATGCTATAGACTCATACAGTGTCTTGTACTTTCCACAGTATACCTGTAGTGCATGTCTTTCCTGTCCTTCTGTAGATGGCTGTCACTCACCTGCTTGCCAGACAGCTCAGGACCGTAGCAGGTTTTGACTGACGGGCCAGGCACTATTCCACAATTTGCTTCACACCCTGTTTCAGTGATAAAGGCTAGTATAGGTATTGTTCACGTTTCTCCTTCTCTTTTTTTTCTGAGTGGGGGTGGGGGCTGTGGAGGCAGAGGGAGAAGCAGACCCCTTGCTGAGCAGAGAGCCCAGCACGGGGCTCTATCCCAGGACCCTGGGATCGTGACCTGAGCCAAAGGCAGAGGCTTTAACCCACTGAGCCACCCAGGCGTGCCTTGTTCAGGTTTCTTGAACTAAACTCTAAAGAGAGATTTTCTTTTTGGATCTCAAGCTTTAGAGCCCTGCTTTGGCTAATAAATAATCCACATCCCTGTGGAGTGGGAGTGGGTAGGCCTCTGGGTCTGGCACTAGCAATTTTCTCTCCTTATCTAGTTTGTGCGTTCCTGTGCCCAGGGACTGCCATTTCCACGTCTTACTCTCTCGTTGAAGTGAGAGTCACAGACAGAATGAGTAGGTTTTCCAAAGAGTGATCCACCTGGCTACAGGAATGTTTTTTCATGGGAAAATGTGGTAGACCTATAAGGCATTATTTAATTTAGATTTCATTATAGGAGAGCTTGCCTTTCTTAAGGTACTTATTAACTCGTTCACTTTTCCCATTTCTTGAGATTGAACGTGAATTCAGTCCTTAAAGGAGCTCCAAAAGAGTAGAGTTAACAGGTGTGGGCTGTTGCTGAATGAGGCAGGATATAGATATTAATTCCATAGGCTTTAATTTATTCATACATTAATAAATTTCACCATCAGTTGAACGGTTGCCTCTTTCTGCTGTTCTGCCTTTTGAATTTTATGGTAGTTCTCTAGCAGCTTAACCCGGATCCTGGTAAACTTCAGTTGCAAATAAAGCCGAGTTTACAAAATTGTTAACCGTTGGGAAGTATGGAGATGTTTATTGGAATTTGACATTTTGATTTTACAACTTCATTGTGAGCCTTGGTGCTAAAAATGTGTGTTAGCCTAGACTCGGGACCACATGTCTTCAGTCTGATCAAAGGAGAATATATATAGCACAGGAATTCAGAAATCTACAAATCTCTAGAAGCAAATAGCTTTTAGCCCAAACTGCGGGCTAGAACCGGAGAGTAGCCTTCAGTTCTGCCCGGTTCTGTCAAGATGGGGTAGGTGGGTGGCGGCTGCCGTTTGCAGGACTGTCCACTGGTTTTCCTGTTTGCTTTGACTGGTTAGGGTTAGCCTGGGGCTGGCTGTGGACTGAGGGAGCAGAGCCTGGCTTCGCGCAGGCAGCCTGGACCGTGCTCCACCTCTGTTGTCAGAGGCTGAGGAATGGCATTTCCTCCCTGTTTTTTAAATGTATGGTCCCCCCTGAGCTGAACATTGCTTACTTGCCATCTATGATCTTTGACTTTGACTTTGCCTTGGTTCTTGGCCTGTGAGGGTCAAAACCATGTTGAGATGGTTTCCTTCATTGTTGATTGGATGGTCAAGAAGAAAAAGTAACAAGAAATCTGTCACAGTGGGACACCTGGAGTGGCTTAGTCCGGCAAGCATCTGCCTTCAGCTCGGGTCATGATCCCAGGATCCTGGGATTGAGTCCCATATGGGCTCCTTGCTCAGGAGGGAGCCTGCTTCTCCCTCTGCCTGCTGCTCCCCCTGCTTGTGCGCTCTCTCCTTTCTCTCTCTCTCTGTCTCTCTGACAAATAAATAATAAATAATCTTTAAAGGAAAGAGAGAGAGCTCTGTCAGACTACATCAAACACTCTGAAACACTTGGGTCAGCCAGTTAGGAAGTGCTTTGCCCAGAGACTCACCAGGCAAGTAGTAACGCAGCTGACCAGACCACCTACCCACCTAATCTTCACCCTGGCAAGACAATTCTAGAAATGGGTTTTTCAGAACAAGTTGGGTGAACTTTGAGACTCACAGAAGTCCTTTGGGAGTTCATTGGCCTCTTGGTGTTTACTTCCCTCTGCACCAAAGGGGTGACAACCTTGGACAGTTGGTGTGAGTAGGAGGACAGTTACTTCTCCTTCCCACCCTCTAGCTGTTGCCCACTTTGATTTGTTGATGCTAGAAACTTCCACGACAACGTTGATTTTCTTGTTTGTCAAATTGGTGGCTCTAAAGGGTGCGCTGCGTGATGGTGGGGAAGTTGCATCTACACGTGCTCAAACCCAGGCATGGCTCGTGCGGGCGCTCTGGAAGTCCTGGCCAACCATGAGGACAGGGCCAGTTCATGGCGTGAATGGTACACATGCCTTCTAGCACACGTGGTTCTAAGGAGAGAAATTTTAAATGAAATCCAGGAAGTAGAAATCCTAACTATATTTTTTTCTGCAAATTTTTGGGTCACTAAGATCAGGGTTTGATTTTATTCAATAAAACATAAATTCTGAGAGAAATAATTACTACATGGAGTTAATTTGGGGTAATGCTTTTTGGAAAATAAAAGTTCTTGCTTCATTTCTTCAGAGTTTCAGATAACAACTGAAGGAACCTAATCAAGAATCAGAAATGCCCATTAAGTTTCCTGAGCTACCGTGTTGCTTTGGTTAAGTCATCTGAGCTGAAAAGTTGAGCCTGATTACTGGTCTTTGAGAAAAATTTGTGTTTGTTTCAGTTACTCAGGTTGAATTTGAAGTTCAGTGGAATTTATTTATTTATTTATTTTTAAAAGATTTTATTTATTTATTTGTCAGAGTGAGCACGGGCAGAGAGAGAGGCAGGCAGAGGCAGAAGGAGAAGCAGACTCCCGCTGAGCAAGGAGCCTGATCTGGGGCTCCATCCTAGGACGCTGGGATCATGACCTGAGCTGAAGGCAGCCGCTTGACCAACTGAGCCACCCAGACGCCCCTGAAGTTTAGTGGAATTTAAATTTGTTTCCATGTACTCAAGGAAATCAAGTAGGGCAAAAGTGGCAACTGGAATGTGTTCGTTCCAAAATGGTGAAAATGTCAATGGTGAGGGCCAGGCCTGGAAGCCACCTGCACACGCGGACGTGCTCGGGAGCAAGATGTTCTTGGTTACACTAGTTTGTCTTTATTTGTGTTTTTATGCGGACGTTTCAGCTGAAAGAGGCCAGCTGTGGTGAGCGTTGGTTTGTTTGCAACCTAAAATCCTAGAGCTTAAGGAAATAATGTGATTCTTCTTGTTCAAGACAGTCGTCTTACAGGCGAGATCAGGGTGCACAGGAGGAGGGAATGGAAGTTGCCCCGCAGCACTGGTCCCCGTGTGGGGTCGGCCGGGAGAGCCGAGCCATGGTTTCTTGATGTGGGGAGCCCTCTTCCCTAGGAGGCGTTCCCTCAGAGGACCCCCTACCTCCCCGTTTCCAAACATCTCACCAAGACACCCGAAAAGTAGAGTGAGCACTAGACAATGGGTGGGATATTAGAACTTGCAGGAAAAGCCGGGGCAGGCGGCCAGAGAAGCCGGTCCCTCCAGAGTGGCAGGTGGGACGGGGTGTTGACACAGGGCTCCGGCCAGGGACGGGAGCTGAGGGAGGCATAGAGAGGGGCTCCTCCTGCCTACTCTTGCTTTTAGCTACTGTAGGTTTTATTTCACTAATTTAAAAAAACTTCTTTATGGAGCCCTGAGACTTGTCATATTAGAGAAAGTAGTATAACAGCCCCCCCACCACACACACACCCCTGTCACCTGTTAGGAGTTAAGAACATATGGCAAGTTGCGCCAGTCACTTTTTTTCTAGGCCCTTCTCTTGCCACTGCCTCCTTGCCTCCTGGGATTATTTTAGAGTGAATCCCAGAGTCAACGTGCCTACTGCATATTTTGAACTAATAGAAACAAAGTTTCAGTCTGCTGAGGGAATTTGACAGAAAGTAGTTACTTGGAGTGGTTCAGGATTAAACTCCAGGAAGTCCCCTTTGTCAGTGATTCTGGAAGCTCTTGTTTTCCAGATGATTTTCTTAACGTGTTGCTGCCACTGTCGGGGCGCGGGGGTGTGAGGAGGAGGAGTCCGGCTGCGGTGAGGGTGGAGAGGCGCTGGCTCTTGGGACGGTGGTTCAGGAGGGGCCGGCGGAGCTGTCGGGAGCGGCTTCTGGGTTTTCTTCCCTTAGTGTGCAGCCACTGGAGCAGGTTGCTCTGTTCATCATCCAAGTGGAACCTGGAGAATAAGCCTAAGATTTAGAATAAAAATGAGGGTTTCACAAGAAGTAATGATTTTTGCTTCAGCGGGTCAGAGTGAGCATTTCTGAGGCCCTTCCTTTTGTACGTGACTGTGTCGTGACCGCTCACGTTGCCGTTCTCTGTTTCAGATGGGAATGACTGGTAACACAAGTCCGTTCGGACAACCCTTCAGTCAGACTGGAGGGCAGCAGATGGGCGCCCCTGGAGTGAACCCCCAGTTATCCAGCAAACAGAGCATGGTCAACAGTTTGCCTCCCTTCCCTACGGACATCAAGAATGCTTCAGTCACCAACGTGCCAAACATGGTAGGTTGCCCTTGGCCCTCAGGCTGTGGTCTCTGGTGGGTGCGCTGGCGCGTGGCCGCTGGACATGTGTCGTGGGTGAGGGGAAGAGAGACACTGCCGGGGAGCACTCTGTCGCTGAGCGCTTTCCTTTGCTCCTTTGCTGAGCCGACAGTCGTGGCTCAGCCGGTCCGTGCGGGGGGCGTTCACGCAGTCACACGGCTACAGACGGCTGGGCTCTCCTCGCTCTTCCTGTTAGTGCTTACGCTGTCCGGAGAACACGAATCAGTGTTGTGCACCTGGGAGGTGAGGGGGTCATGTCCGTCCGTCCTTTTTTTTTTTTTTTTTTTTTTTTAAGAATTTATTTACTTATTTGTTAGAGTGGGGGAGCAGCAGGCAGAGGGAGAAGCAGGCTCCCAGGGAGCCTGATGCGGGGCTCGATCCCAGGACCCTGGGATCATGACCCGAGCCAAAGGTGGCACTTGACTGACTGAGCCACCCAGGCGCCCCATATCCGTCCTGATAGAGCGTTTCATGTGTGTTTCTTCTTCTGAGATTTCCCATCTGTAAGAGAGGAGCTAGTCTTAGAGCCTCCCAGCCTAACGAACCAAGATAATAATGGGAAAATAGCTCCTTTTGCCCTGCAAAATGGAATCTTCTAAAATTGTAAACCCTGAGGGGCAAGTGTGTTCTTTTGTCAGACTTCACTGTGCACACTTAGGGACTGAATATCTGATGTGCCTTTGGTGGTCAGTCAAGGCCGCTGGGCTTGCTGGTGGCACCTGCCCTCCCAAGTTTGCCATCCACATAGCTGTGCAGTGGCAGCTTCGAAAGGCCCAGAAGAAAGCCAGGGATTATGTTCAGAAAAGCATCATCTTTGGTTTGTCTTTTGATTTTTAAAAACTTTTTCTTTATTTTGTCTGTAAAGATACACTGAGAAATTCCTGTGTGTCTGTCGCTTGGCTTCTCCTGAGGTTAGCATCTTATGTGACCCTGGTACGGTTGTCACAACTAAGAGATTGACATTGCTTACAGTGCTTACAGTTGTGAGGCTGTTGGAAGTGGGTTGGGGGGGGTGGGGGTGGCTTACTCTTAGTTTTTGGTAAAATCAGAAAATGGGGTAAGAGCAAGGTGTCCTGATCAGGTGTTGTCCTTGTTACATCCTTCCTTCTTTTAAAAAAAGGAGGGGGGGTTCAAGTAGTAAAGTATGTTCTCAAGCTATTTAAGGTTTTTACTACTTTATTTCTTCTGATCATCTCCCCATAATCTGTCTTGATTTGCTGCTGTCCTTGCCGTAACATTCTGTTGGAGCCAGAACCTGAATCAAGGCCTCTGCTCCCTGGGGCAGCTCCTCTGAGCTCTGGGGCAGCAGGCTGGGAGCCGGCACCCACACTCTTCTGCTCTTCCTTCTTCGGTCTCCTTGGGTGGACTCGAGGACGGGTGATCGTCCCCTCAGCTCGGCCGGGTGAGAGCAGGTGCTTCTGTACAGACAGTCTGTGTTTCGGAGTGTGGGAAACCCCGCCTTAAGTTTTCCTCCCTTCTCTCTTTTCAGATCTTCCCCAGCCCATTTCCACCCCCTCTCTGCTTGACCCGCAGCTTGCTGGCAGAGTCCCTTTGCCTTCAGTCCCCCTGCCTGCCTCTGTTCATGGGACCGAATGCCCGCGGCACCGTGCATGTCAGGGGCAGGTTCATTCTGGACTGGGGAGAGGCTTCCGTTTCCCTTCACCTGTGCCAGGGCTGGTGGGGACAGTGGGGACAGCCCTTTGGTCTGGGTCAGGGCTTCTTTCTCCCTCGGCACTGTTGACATTTGGGGCTGGATCTTTGTCGTAAGGGCCATTCCTGTGTATTGTGCCCCTCACCCACCAGGTGCTCACAGCCCTTCCTCTCTCCCCACAGTTGCCCCAGGTGAGAGAACACCTGCTCTGGGAAGGCAGTAGCACTAGCACTCCGTCCTCTGTGTTTGTGACATCGAGCCCCCTCCATCCCTAATTTTTTCTTTTCCTCGCCCTTCCAACTATGCTCTTTCTTACTCCATTCCTTCCCCCACAGCCTCATTGGATCATCAGGGCAAACTTAGGAAGTGTTTTGGTCTGTAGAGCTGCACTGTTTGCCTAGGTACCGCTGCCCCACAGAGGTATGCATAGACTTTGACAGAGATCCCCAGAAGGTATCTTTGGAGAGCAGGCATTGGATGCTGTCCTCAGACATTGACCTGGCGTGCACGGGGCTGACTGGGCCAGCACGTGTGTTTGTGAGGGAGTGTGGCCCGGTCGGCAGCCTTGGTGCTATTGGGATGGGAACCAGAGGGGACTGGCAGAGACATGGGACAGCCAGTGCACGTTTTATGCCTGAGTTTTCATGCCCTCAGTTTACCTTATTTTTATAACATCCTCTTAAAAGACATTGCTATATGTCCCAGTTTACAGATGATGAAGTTGAGGGCTTGAGGGGTTTTCATTTGTTCAAGGCTATGTAGCTCCTGTTTGCAAAGTCTAAAATTCTTTTTAATAATGCCTGATATCAGGGCGCCTGGGTGGCTCAGTGGGTTAAAGCCTCTGCCTTCGGCTCAGGTCATGATCTCAGGGTCCTGGGATCAAGCTCCGTGAGAGCCTGCTTCCCTGTCTCTCTGCCTGTCAAATAAATAAATAAAATCTTCAAAAAAAATAAAAAATAATGCCTGGTATCATGTTTTAGCAGCCCTGAGCTAAATTGGGAATGCTCGCCTCTGTTTACAGTGCTTCCTTGAGCATGTGTTGTAGTCTTCCTTAAATTTTCTAAATTATATCTGACCCCTTGGAATCTGTGGATTTTGGTTTTTTCCCCAGAGTGAGGGCGAGAAGGTAGCAAAAACTGAGTGTTTTGGGTATGAAGCCTTGATCTTACTTTAGTGTTTTGTTTTGTTTTTGGTCATCCTTTGGGGAATAATCTTTTAAAACCCAGCTCAAGCTGGAGTACCAAACAGTTCAGGTCGGGGCTCTGGTGCCGCATTACCTGATGTCCTGGTCAGGCTCTTCATGGAATGATTTAAGCTACTCAGTCATTGATCATGGGGCGCTTGCTTTTCTCCTCTCCTAGATTCTGGAGGATTCCAGCATCCCCAGGTAGGTTGAGAAAGGAAGGGGATGTGGCCATCCCTTTAATCCACCCCATTTGGTGAACACTGTCTCCTGGCCCCCATGTCCCAGGATACAGGTTTGAGTGAGCTCACCCCCTTTCATGAAATTTGGTTGGTGGTGATGGAAAACAAACAATCATAAAATACAAACAGCCCTAGCAGGTCTGAGGAGCAGGCAGTGGCTGAGGTTGACACAGGGACCTCCTGGGGCCAAACCAAGGAAGGACATATCAGGGCAGGGTCAAAAGATGAGCAGAAGCCACAGAAACCAGGGGGCACTGGGAGAGCATTGGCTTGGATAGGGACCAGCAGGCAGCCAGCGGGAAAGGCGACTCTCAAGGTTGAGTGGAGACCAGTGTGCTGGAATGTGGGGGCCGAGCAGGAGCCAGCTCCGGGAGGGCTTTGGGTGGCAGGGGTCACTGCGGTGGTCTTGACAAGAGGGTGCACTTGATCACAGAGAAAGGGGTCAGGGGGCCAGACAAGATTTGCTGCTGGAACAGAAGTGTGGGGCCACGGCATAATATGACTTGGTGCTTGGGGGAACCGTGTATAGAGCTGGGGGAGGGACAGACCAGACAGTGGGGAGAACGAGGTGGTCGGTGGGGGGGGGTGCATTTGTAATTGCACTTCACATGTGTTCTTTTGAGATGCTTGTGAGGTGTCCATGTGAGGGGCATCAGGCAAACAGGTGGGCTGATACAGCAGGGCATCCGCTGTCTCAGTCCACAGGGAATGAGAGCGCCGCAGGGGAGACGGGTGGAGGAGGATCCGGGTGATGGGAACATGAACAGGAGGAGATGGCGAGTCAGGCGCCAGGGCAGAAGAGTGTCCCCAGAACATGCGGTCAGTCTGCGGGACGCAGAGACCTGTGGATATGCTCTGTTGTCCCCCACAGGGTTCCCAGCTGTCATTATCCTCTGGGAAGTGCTGGGGGGCACTAGGAGAGGGGGGGCTCCAGGCGCCTGGTGCGGGCGGGGTCGTTTTTGAGGGCTTATAGATTCTCAGGATAATATTTCAAAGCAAATTGGCACATTTTCCCAAATTTTCAAATGTATGTCATAGCAGTTTTTGATTTCTTAACTTTCTATAATTTCTTAACTTTCTACAGATTATTTAAGTTTGTTAGAAATTTTATCATGTTATTAGGGTGTTTCGTGATTCTGAGATGCACTCTTTTTTTCAGATTTGTAGTATCTCTGAAATCCGGTTGTGTTTTAGAAATGGTCAAGATTGATTTAGATCTAATAAAATACAGTGTGTATGCCATTTTACTTGTTTGTAATTTGAATTAATAGGAGTGATGTAACAGTTAAACATATATATTCACTGTGTAGTTTTCCAGAACAGCTTTCATGGGTAGAAGGCTTTTTTGGATTTTTTTTGTTTTGTTTTTGGTTTTTTTTTGAAGGTTTTTTTAATTATTTAAATTTTACTGACAAAAGAGCAGGTGCAGATTTGAGTTGGGGTAGAGGTCGGGTCATCTTTCTGTGGACTGGGATGGGGGTCCCTGTAGGCCATGTTGAAGAAGGGCTGTGCACAAGGACGCATGAGGAGGCAGAGGTGGGGACGTAGTTCCTGGGCGGCGCCCTGAAGAGGAGGCCCCATCACTCCTGTTGGTACTGTCTAGCTGCCATTTTCATCTGAACAAGTCCTAGCGTACAAAGTTGGGGAGGAGGGGGGACATCAGACATCATTTGGGACTGGAGTTGTCAGGTCATCGCTGACCTTCACAACAGGTTCCAGAGTGTTTTTAAAGGAGCGTTATTAAGATGTGGGACATGTCTTGGGTGTATCTAGTCTGAGAAAGTTTGGTGACCAAAGGGGCTCCCTCCTCAGGTTCCCTGTGGACTGTCCTGTGGGGCTCCCAGATGTAGTCTGCTGTAGGGTTCTTTCTTACAGGAAGTTCTTG